TTGGCTTGATTGCAATTTTTGAGCTTTAGTGTGTGTATCGTTGCACTCTATATGTTCTTGGATTATGTTGATGTTCAGTGTGCTGAGTAAACTCATTACTAAAAATACAAAACATTGCTGATTTATTGAGTTTGTTGAATGCAGACATAGCTGTCTTAGTATAATGTTTGGAATGTTCTTGGTTTTTGATTGCAGTTAACACTACTCATGTAGCTGCTTCAGTTTCATTTGAAAATTACACTTACTACAAACAGCACAAAGAAAAGCATGTTCAATTGGCTGCTTTCATTCCTTGCTATGGGGTGTGAGCGGAAGATTTTTTCCTTCTTTTCAAAAAGGCATTCTCTTGTTTCATTTTTCATAGGTTAGAAGAATCAGCACCAAACTTAATAGTAATACCACTTAGACTTGTATATACTGCCCCTTAGTGCTTTTACAGCACTCTGAGTGGTTTACAAAAGTCAGCATATTGCTCCCAACAATCTGGATTCTCATTTTATCGATCTTGGAAGGATGGAAGGCTGAGTCAAGCTTGAGTCCTTCAGGATTGAACACCTGGTTATGGACAGAGTTAATCTGCAATACTGCATTCTAATGCTGTAGCTTGTGGTTTAAAAAAACTCTAATAGAATATTCAGAATCTTTTGTTCCATATGCATACAATTAAAAGTAAAATTGGGTATAAAGTCCCTTCCAGTTGTATCTTTTGTCCATGTTAAGGTAGTATCTTATTGTAATAAGAATTCGAGGAGGTAGGGTCATAGCTATGGTGTGTTCAAAGCAATTTGTAGTGTAGTTAATTATAGAAATAGATGCCTATCATGCAGAATGCTTGATAGATTGTGGAGTTTTTTTTCTAAATAAAATCTTTTAACAACCTTTATGTAAACCCAATCAGAAAATCAATTTATAACATCTTTATGTTGCCAGAAAGGATTCGATGTGTTTAATGCACTAGACTTGATGGAAAACAAAACATTCCTGGAAAAACTGAAATTTGGTATTGGAGATGGCAATCTGCAGTATTATTTGTATAACTGGAGATGTCCTGGCATGGATTCTGAAAAGGTAACATATTTATACCAGAGATTTGATTGTCCTTCCTATGCTTCTGGAGATAACAATAGTAATCAATACTTCCGGAAGATATGGTGGTTGAGAAAGCTGATGTCCTTTACAGAGATTCTATTTATCTTCATTTATGTAATGATATGAAATGTACTGAGTGGTTTCTTTAATAGCAGTGATTGTGTATGTCTGCCTATCTTCCCTCTATATTTGAGATTCCCCATACTGTGTTAGTAAAGTCTTCTCTTGATGGATTTTGCATCATTGGGAAACTAGCATGCTACAAAACACCACCTTTTAGCATTACCTTCATTTTCAAAAATGCTTCTTGCCCTATGTACAGAATGGGACAATTTGCCATGGCCAACACGCCACAGTCAACTACCATGGGACAACTCACAGCAGGACAATTCAACAAATGCAGGCTAAATTAATTTCAACAGAACTATAGCCGATAATAATAATAATAAAATAAAGTCAGTCCAGAAATACAAGAGTTACAATAATTTTGACAAAAAAGTGGTCACTAAAAGTAATTGAATGAAACGAGCAATGCAGCACTGAATTGTCCCACAGTGAATTGGTAGTGGTGATCTGGCCACGGCGAATTGGCTGCAACAAATTATCCTAGATCCCCCCCTTAAGTAGGCATAGGTTCACTGCACACAGCTCCCCCAAAATTCTCCATCTGGAGTTAGAAGTGAGAATTGGGGGCAAATAGAAAATGTGATTTAATATTTTATTAATACTCATGCCCATACTCGTAATAACTGTTGTTTTGGCCAGTAGACAAGATTCTTCTAACTGTGCCAATATTTCCTTGTGAGAGTGCTAATAATGCTCCAAGTGCCACACTATCCTCTAAGCATGAAGGACTTTGGTTTTTTTCTGCAGTAACACCAATGTTATCATTTTTCTAGGTTGGTCTTGTATTACAGTGAGGTGAAAGGACACTTATATTTATAATTCTTGGAAGTCATCATCTGGGCTGTTGGATGCTCTTGGATCCGTACAGTTCAAGAGGAGCCAAAGCACAATGCCTGTTGAACTTAAATCAATCAGTCAAACCTTGGGGGAGAAGGGCTACAAGAAGAAGTGAAGATTTCTGAGCTCAACTAGCCCTTCAACCCTGAATAGGAACAAAAATGCTTATGAACCTTTTACTGTTTGTCAATGAAAAGAAATAAAGCACATTTGTTTAATTTTAAATGCTTAGCTCGCATCTTGATGCAAAGGATACTTTTCTCTGTTTCCCTGCATAAAAATAAAAAAGACTTTTTGTACAACAATGAAGTTGCAGTGGTGGAATAGAGTACAAATACTTTACTGTAACGTGATTGAACTACTGCATTTCTATTTATTAAGTGGTAGTGTATGTTTATCAATGTAATGAAATGAAGGAACCAATTTTGAGTGTTTCTGCTTGTTTTCATGACATGGATGTCATCATTGCCAAGAAAAAAGCCTTGGAATATGTTTGCTAGGAAAACATGCAGATATTGGATGTCTTTTGTAATGTGGAGTGGAACAGAAATGTGCTGGTTGGACTAGTACATGTTTCTCCGTAAACAATGCTGCCAAATCAATAAAAATACACATTTGTAAGTTGATCTTCAATAGATCAGTGACTTGATTATAGCATAGCACTGCTAAATGCACGTGTTAATATCTTCCCTGAGCTATAGTATTCTTTTCATCTTATAGTTCTGAAAAAGAAAATTTTACACTGTTTTTGATGTAACAGTAGCCTGCAAATGAAACTGAGAATATTAGTACTATTATGAAGATGTGTTAAGATGAATGTGTTTTAAGGCTTTTGCAGAATTGCACATATTCCTTTTGTCTACTTGGTTTTTTTAAGAAAACATTTTAAACTGAAAAATATGTTTGTGTAACTAAGTAAATTTGTTGCTAGTAGTAGCAATATAATTCTGGTTTGGGGGAACAGGTATTTCATAGTACACATTTGTATATGTCTTTGCAAACACATTTTTGTTGGCAGCAATATGTGCCAAACTGTCTTGGTTCATATCTTATGGTAAACCTTAATATGGTTTTGTTTGGCTTAATGTGTCATGCGAATACAACTTACCATAAGTTCTTTAACAAATGATAATTTAGCAAAATGCATGAACCAAGTCAAGGTATCTGTTTCCCTTTGGATTAATAGAGTTTAGTTTAGAATATGTTAAAGCACTGCATATGCATCCAGATTTTCACAATTGTTTTATATATAGATTTGTCAACTGTTTTCATACATCATAATAAGCCATGTTTGTTGAAAAACTATAGTCAGTTTGTAGACAACAAAAATATTCTTTTGGACAATTTTTGAGGCATTTTTGTTTTATTTATTTAAAGCCCTTTTAATTATTTGCCCTTCTCAACTGGCATTTTACCAATGCATCAGACTGCAACTTCTACAATCTTCCCATCAATAAAAACAATAGCCTCATTTGAACATAATGAAAAGCCATGATGCCATTTGTTAGGTTTTTGGCTGCGCATGATATGTCAATCCACATAGGGTGGCTTGACATGCTGTGGGAGCTGGTCATCTAAATTTTGATATTTATTGAATATGCTTTTCCACATTTCAAAATAATATCTTTTTCCATCCCATTTTTGAAAAGTGGGGTGGGGGAGTTGTAGATGTTTAACAGTGAGTAACCTGAACATCTTTTCAAAATAGATTCATCAAGTACAATATTGCTGGAGAAAAGCGTTATCAAGATTTGATTCTAATTTATCAGAAACCTTGATAGTATAACAAGCAGTTTAACCAAATAGCTGAAACCATACTTGTACATTTCCAAATGTGAAAATTTTCAAAGAGGTTCCAATAACTTAGCTTAGAATGAATATATGCTTTTGTTGTTCCTAAATCAAAAACTGCTAATTTGGTTGCTAAATCTCGAGCTTGTACTCTTTTCCTACTGTTAGATAGCAAATGGGGAAATGAACTCTTGAACATTTTTTCTCAAAAGCAGATATTGCAAACAAACCAGGAATTAAAATTTGAAATGTTGCCAGAAACTCCCAATTTAGCACTAATTCTGGGTTTTGCATTAGTTGCAAAATCTGCTTAAAAGTAACTTACCCCTTGTTAATGGACATAGTTCTATACTTTCTATCCTGTTTCTCCCTCCAATTTTCCTATTTCTACAGCCTGTACTATAGCAGTTTAATGAAATAAATTTATTCTGAACAATTATTTTAATTATGCAACCAGGACCATCTGAATATGATAAGACTGTGTCCTCTTCTTAGAAATCTGCTTCTTTGGACCAGTGCACCTCACAAGCTATTAATCCAAAAGCCTCAAGTCTCTAATGCCTCTCTATCTTAGTGCAGGGAACTGATCTGATATGCTAAAGAAAGTACTTGTATTATTAAAAGCAAAATGCATCTATGCTCAGTTCTGCATGTCCTACTCACAACCGTTTTAAGAAAAATATTAAACAGAAAAAAGCTGTGCTTTCAAATGTGCAGCTGTTTTCAGTTAACAGCATCTTAACAGTCCTTGAATTTTATTGGCACCAATGAATGTTTGAATAAATGTAAACTTTCGTACTATTTTGTTTTGAATAATTATGTTTAACCTAAAATATTAGTTGCTTCAAAAACCAATACATTCTGTTTAAAATGATCCATACATCCCTACAGACTGGGGAAGATGGACGTTGTAACCCAAAATATCTGGAGAGCACCAGATTAGGAAAGGCCATCCTAATTAATTGTAGAAGGCACCATGAACTGAGTATGATTTTTACCCCACATCGTGTACTATGGCTAGCTTTTTGATCTCGCCTTAAGGTTACCAACATCACTAGAAACAAATTTTATATATACGGTACATGTACAAACTTGCAAAATACATACATATTTCTATGCTTTATCTACTTGCAGAAGCCATATTCCAAAAACGTATAGTCAGGATAAAAAAGTTATATTTATTGAATTCATAATCTTAATAAAAATCATCTGGAATAATAGGCTATTTATATAATAATTTATATAAAATATTTTTCTGCTGGTGTACATGAACATATTCTCCTTGATTCTTCTAGCAGCAGAAGAAATTCACTGGCTGGAAATTGGTTAAGGGAAAGCAGAAGAAAAGTATAAAATGAAAAATGAAAAAAAATAAGGGGAAGAGATAATAGAATGGAAGAAAAGGAATTTTTGTTAGGCATTCATTGGTTAAGCACCCTCTTCTAGATGGATACAGCTTTTTTTAAAAAAATGCAAAACTAATTTGGAAAAAAATGCTTTTATTCAGTGATATGACATACATCATAACTTAGGCAGATGGAAATCAAAAATGTAGGGTAGAAATCTCAATGTTGCTTTGAAATACGTTTTTTAGTTTTGGGAAGCTTGCGGCATTTTTTTGGATTGGGAACTACATTTTTAACTTTAAGTGTCTGCAGAGCTATGGTAGGGGAAGCAAGTGGGCTGTTACCTGCTAGTTTCCGCTTGTGACTAAGAGAGCTCACTACTGGGGTAGAATCAGTGGATTCGGCAGCTGAAACAGTCATAACAGTATCATTGATTAAAAGTGGTTCAATTCCATGCTGCATCCATGGCAGATCTAAATTAGGAATTCGTGGAATAATTACCTCAAGTACCTTTGCAAACACATCAGCTGTTCTTTTAAACCCCAAGGCCAGCACAGATGTTAGTCCAAGCACTGGGGCTAATGTTTCGCTGAGACGTGGAACTTGCCCAGCTGGGATAGCTCTACTTGCACTGAGTGGAATCAGATGAGATGTTAGCAAGGCAGGTTTGGCAGATTTGCATACCAGTACAAGACACAATTCATTTTTTTCTAAAGCTCTAGTTACTTCATTGATCCCAATAGCAAGCTGGTTCCTGATTTGCACATCGGACCACCCACGTGCTTTTGGGTCATCAGCCTCTTTGTCTTTGTGAAATTTGCTCGGAAGATTGCAATACTCTTCCTCTTTTTGCCTTTTTCTGGAAGTGCTTTTCATTCTCTTCCGATCCTCTATCTTTTTAAATCCAATCTGCTTCATGACTTCTTCCAAGGCCTGCAAGACAAAATGCATATCCTCTCCTGGCAGTGTACACCATTGTGGAATATATGGGTTGTTGAAAGATGTTTTCACACTTTGTTTGGATTTGCGGGCTGATCCTTTCCCCCGCAGAACAGACATTTTGGTGTGCTTACACTTTGGAAATCAAGCTGAAATGAATACAAGAGAAAAGGTTTTAAGTATTTTGCTTAAAATGTAGCAATAATTAAAAAGAATGAAATGTCCCATTCGCTTTTCTTATACTGACTTTATTCTATGCTATTAAAAGAATCTGAAGCTATAATTTTACAGCTGAAAAATCTTTATCCCTGCCTTATTGATAAAAAAGCTACACCCAAGTAGCTATAGTACTGTTAATGATTTGTCTACAATAATAAAAAAGCCAGAGTTCAATCAATGTAGAATTTTCTACATTAGGGCACAAGTAACTAAATTACCATATTCTGAACGCATTGTGCAAAAACTATTTCTCCTGAAAAGTCTGAAAGATGGAAGAAAAAGACGAGGTAAGACAGAAGCAAGATGGATGGATTTGGTTACATTGGTAATTGGAGGACTACTCGATCTGAACAACCAGGCTGGGAATAGATCATGCTGGATGTCTAACAATGTTATTACTGAAATGATACAAACTTGATGACACATCAATTAATCAACAGAAACCCAGCAGGGACTGGAAGGGGTGGAGCATCATGAAAACCTTTGAACCAATAGATTCCCAAACTCTTTTTTGCTCACAGTATGAGAAAAAAAACTAGACTATATCAGAAATGGAAGAATTTCTCTGTCCCACTGATGTTAATTGAAGGAAAAAGTAGGTAAAAATAAAATAAAAAAGATAAAAAATGTTGATCTAGGCTTGTACAAGCCAACAGGGTTTAGGAAGTGGCAATGTCTGCCAAATATTGTTATATCCTATTGCAAGCCAATTCATGCTATTACTTGCCAGCAACCAAACTATGTATGTGTTCCAATTACATACATACACTGTACACACATAAAAGAATGATAAAGAATGGGAAACAACAGCTAGGAAGTATTTCTGAATAAACATCCCTTCTTGGTTACAAAATGGTTGTGTCCTCATGATACATGCATTCATAACCTGATAGTTTAGGTTCTCACAATATTAACTATCCAAATGGCCTGAATTTATACAATACACTAAGCTAAAATAGGCTTGGCTAGGTTGTTATCCTCCCTTGAAAAATATGTAGAGATGTGCTAAAGCTGGCTCATGAAAGTCAATTTTAAATTTTGTACAAACTGCTCAGCCATTTGTTAGTAGAGCTGAGCCACAATACCCAGCATGCCAATCAGCTGTTGACAGACTAGCAGCACAGAGAAATGGACTGGAATTAGCAGAGCCGACTGCCAAACATCTACTAGTATACCACAATATAAAGAGCCAAGGTGAAAACTGATTATCTATGTGGTTCCAGAAACTGATATCAATTTGAGGATCCATTATCAAGTTTCTTATCCAAAAGAATGTATCATGCAAAATAGCTAATTTTAGCTTTCTGTGAAGAGCACTGAAATCAATCTTTACATGGATACACTCATGCTTCCTTGGCAAAAATATGGAAATAACTTCTTTGACCCTTTTACTATTCCCAGATCACTTTAAGTTCCCGCTGTTCTTTCCTCCACTTTCCAATCAGGTCTGCAAACAGCTGCTACTATTCGCCATTTAAATGCTTCTAACTACCCACTGAAAATAAAAGTTCTGTTCTATTTCCAGAATATTTCAAAACACTTTTCTCTCCTAAACGCTTTAAACAGGTTACAGGCAATAAAAGAATGATACAGAATCCCAGCACAATAAAGCAAATAGAGCAACTTCAGGTTGTACACAGAAATGCAATTTTCGAAACCAGCCACTGATACAAATTGAAAGAAAGAAACGCTCCTTAAACTGCAGTAGTAGAAATAACAATAAAGAAGGAAAACATAAGCGGTTTTTTTTTCTTAAAGAGAGCTTGTTGGAAGGAGCTCTTCCATCCGATTTAAAGAGAATTCTGGGTTTGCTATCAATGAAGCAGATAAAAGACAACGCTGCATACTCCTGCCAACAGCTTCACTTCAGGGAGGGGCTGCTGTCTCGAACCCACGGGAAGCTGCAAGGCTCTCCAGATTGTTGGCTACACGCCACCCGCTTTCCCTCCAAACTCCAGCGGCCTGATCAATTTCTCTTCCTCCACCGATGGAAGCGCAGCGGCGTTCATGCAGAAGCATCGCCTGGTCGCAAGGGAATCTTACCCATGCCGTGTCCAGCACAGCAGGAAGCGGAAGAGGCCGGTTGCTCGCCAAGCTAGGCCCACGCTCGCCTCGATAGCGCCTCTTCGCGTCTGGGAGGACTCTAGACAGAAAGGAAGAGCGCGAAACCAATCAACTCCAGATTGCTGTGAACATCCCTATCTTTCTGCATTCGCGGAATGCCCCCTAATGGCCATGCCCGCAGAATTGCCTGAACTACAACGACGTTGGAAAAGCCGGATTCTTTTAAATAAAAATAATGTTGCTAATAGTGCAAAAAAAGAAAAAGAAAAAAAGAATGATGCCAGACATAGTACAAAGTAAAAACAATAAATAAGAAGCCATCGAGACATAACTCTTATAAGGTTTGATTAACTCAAAACTTTTCTCCTTGCCAGCCCAAACAGTGAAATTCATCAATCAGGATTAGTGATGCAATTAAGATTAAACTGCAGTTAAGAACCGCAGACAAGTCCCATTTACCAGTGTGTCAATGGGACCAGGAAGAGAGTCTTTTCTGTTATACTGCTTGCCCTCTGGAACATCGACCCCCAGACCTTGGCTTGACCCTACTAACCTTTGGGATATAAGGTGACCAACCGTCCTCCTTTAGGGAGGATAGTCCTCCTTTTGTAAGTTCTGTCCTCCCTTGAAAAGTGTCCTCCTACATGTCCTCCTTTTTGATAAAGACTAATCTGCAGGGCTTTTTTTTTTTCTCATAGAACGCTTAGAAAGGCGTTCCAGCACCTTTTTTTGGTGGGTTTTTTTTTCAACTTTTGCATGTGCTGTGCTACTCCCGCTATTGGCTTTCGAAAGCCAATAGGAATTGCTACTGAGCATGCCAAAACACCCAGTTGGCAGACTTTGCACATGCAAGTTGTCTGTATTGTTGTTGCAATGAATAAAATGTTTCTGTTATTTACAATATTTTTTTCTTCAATTTATTTGTGTCCTCCTTTTCATTGTAAAAAAGTTGGTCACCTTATTTGGGAAAGCCCTGTAGACGTGGCTCTATCACCATGCCTGGGGAATCTGGCAATGGAGGGGAGAGTTCTTACAATGGATACGTTGACTGTTGCATGATGAATTCTGCTGCTGATATTGATTTTTTAAAAATTATAGTTTTTATATTTTTGTTCATTGATTTTTCATTTGTTTTTATTGGATTATTTTTATCTGTTGCAAATTGTCTAGAGTTGCTTGATGAGATGCATGGTCAAACAAATTGAATAAATAATAACATTTAAAAATTCCAATTAATTTAATATAATTCCAGATCTCACACAAAACGTGTCCCACATCAATTCTGAATAAAAATTCACATTTTGAAATGGAAACAAATGTTTTATTCCATCATTCCTCTAGTCCTGTGAAATGGCAATTTTGGCTAGAAGTTGGTATCAATATTTCACTTTTGCATCTATGACTAGCAAAAGATTGGGTTGGGTGGAAATCTGCATTTTATGCAGCAATTCAAAATACTTTTTTGTAGAAAAAATGATTTAGGTCTTCAAGCATCAATATTTTTCAGATTTCAATAATAGAATATTTGGTAAATTTTGCTGACCAAGAAATTGGCATTCCAAGCAGTTTTCCCCAATAAGGAAAGAAACAAATAGCAGAATTAGATTCATGATAAATTATCTTATTCTTCCAAAGCCTTCCAAATTGCATGACCCATTGGTTGGTTAGCTTGGCCTTAATTAGTTCTTTTTTGGTTCTTATGTGTTATCAATTTAGTGTTGTCTTTTATTAACAGTCCTTTCCCAGGATGATCTGTTTCCAACCTAGCTCTTCAGATATCTCAGTAGTGCACCCATCAATACTACAAGCAAGTCCGTCCACCTTGCTACTGATCATCCCTTTTTCTCTTTCCTTCCACCTTTCTTAGCATTACAGAGTTGCATCTTTTCAAAATGTGTCCAGAATACAACTTGCACCTACCCAGCTGCACCTTGAATGAAAATCTGGACAGATTAGTTCCATTATCTACTTGCTTATTTTCTTGGTTTCCCAAAACTAAGCAGCAAAAGCATCAATTTCATGCTTCTTCGAAGTTCAATATTCACATGCCACACATTCATGTCACAGAGAAAACTGTTGCTTGAATGATTCTACAAACATATTCCAACATCTGAACATCATTTCTAAGCATTTTATTGCTACATGAGCATCTATTTAGTCTGCAGTCTATTTCTTGGTCCCTTTAACATTGACGTTAATCCTAAAAGGCAGAAGTATCCACCCCTTCAATATCTTTACTATGTGTTCTAGAAGTGGTGACTGTACTGTATCTGCTACCTTTAGTTTAGTCTTTTTATTTAATAATCCCATTTTTTCATTAGTCCTTAATTTTCATTACTAGAGTTCTGAGATAATTTCCATTTTCAGTTATAATAATAAGCACGACATATTTTTCTTTTTGCAGTTTTACATCTACACTCATCTTCTTCCAATCCAACCTCTTTCACTATATAATCTCATATAGGCTGAAAAAATATTGGGAGAGTATTTAGCCTTGTCACACTGCTTTACCAATCTGTTTTTTCATTTTGGCTCTCTTCTGTATATAGATTTCACTTGAAGATAATGAGATATCCAGGGGTTGCAGTTTCCTAAGCACAACTAAAGCTCTTTTTATAATCAATTGGTTGCAAATTTACTTTCTCATCAACCATTATAACTGTGAATAGATGCTGTAAACAAGACAGTTCCTACATGAGAGAATCTATAGTGTTTCTGACTTGAACTGGCTTAAGCAGTGTTGCCTTGCCTCCTGCTATTTTAATGTAGGCAACTTCATTCCAATAGGGCCAATTACTCCTCTCCTGGTCACTAAAAGCTACTTTTTATTTTTTTAATTTCACCATGTGACATTGGGAAGAGTTTTGTCACTTTTAACCCAGAAAAAAAGTGTCAAACTGTAGTTCCGCCCCCTCTTTTAATTGGTTTGGGAAGGGTAAAGAAACAGAGGAATCTACAAATCAGAGGTTGTAATGAACATCAGGCCATCATCATGGCCAAAATACAAATGAGTTGAATCCCATGAAAGTCATTCTTTTTTTTAAATATTTTATTAGATTTTATAAAGGTAAGGAAAGGGTATGCGTTTCTGTGATATGGGAAAAATAAAATACACAGATATTTCCAAAACCATGCTATAAGGAATGTACTGCTTTTAGAATGGGAGCCAATAAAACAAAAAATGTATATCAAATACCAGAGTGGCTCTCAACAATGGAAACTTTTGCTTACCCAAATTTAATTAATTACGACAAACTCGTTACTTATAAAGACATTTTGGATAAGGATGGAAAACTTAAAGACAGGCAAGATCTACAACAATAAGGTATCGATTTATCATGGTGGCCTTACTTACAAATTCAAACAAGAAAGATTTAAAGGCAGCAGGATTTTATAAAGAACAGATAGAATTTGACCAAATTCTCTTGAAAACAGATGAAAATCTGATCAAGAAACTTTATAGATTTCTGCTAAAATGGAAGATGGAAGAAGAACAAATAAAAGAGACAATGATAGTTTGGGCAAAAAACTTTGGATATTCTATAGACTTAGAAGCTTGGCAAAAGTTATGGGATAGAAGTATTAAATTTACTAAAGCAGCTTCCTATAAAGAAAACCTGTATAAAATGTTTTATATATGGCACACAACACCAGTAAAGTTAGAGAAATGTTTAAAAATGTTTTGAATGATTGTTGGAAATGTAAACAAAACCCAGGTACCTGTTACCATATCTGGTAGGTATATCCTAGTGCAAAGAAATTTTAGTTTAAGATTCATATATGGCTGAAAAAGATAACTAAAATACAGATAGAATTTAAGCCAGAATTGTTTCTGTTAGGAATACTAGGATCTAACTATGGGAAATGAGTATTTAATATTACCTATATTGACAGCTGCGAGAATAGCATTTGCCCAATATTGGAAAAATGAGAATGTACCATCTGATGAGATTATAATTAGGAAAATTTTAGAATGTGCAGAAATGGACAGACTAACCCTAGAGATTAAAGAGAAAGAAGATTCAGTCTATTTTAAAACATGGGAAAATTTTTATCAATGGTTAGCAAAATGAGTTAATGAAAAATGATTGTGAAATTTATTAAGAGGATTGATGTTTATTAATTGACATGGTTTATAATCATAGTTACTTTTGTTGACTACAACCACTTATTATTATATTAATTATTCCCACTGAACACCTGTATCCGGATGATAGTTTGCTTGCTAAAGCTTGAAATGTTATTGGGGGCAACCCCATTGTTGTACCTACCCCCGCCTCAACCCCCTCCCTGAACCCTACCCTGAATCCCTCTACCTATACTGACCATGAAAGTCATTCTTAATCCAGTCTCATTTCTAGTTTATGCGCAGGAGACAAGCAATTTAAACTGCAGTGTGGAAAATCCCTTAAGAGTATTGGGAATGAGATTAGATATGCACATTTAGTCTTATTAAATAGAGAACTGGATTAGGATGCATTAAGGAGCCTTTTAAAATTTGCCGAGCAAAAGAAACAAGCAAATGATTTTTAGTACACTGTTTTATTGTACATTGTTTAATTATTTAAATTTTATAAGAAGCAAAGTCAATTAGAAAGGAAACCATGCTACATGCACACAAATACATTTTCAGAGTTGATTTTCTACAATTGAAATCAATAGGAGAAATCAGAAACCACATTCAGTCTAGCCCAACTAGTTTATATAATTAATAATGAACTGTATGCAGGGCTGCTGAAAAACAAGAGATGTGCTTATTAATTATGAGCATAAAATAACTGTTAAGAAAATGGCCAGGGGCAAAATCTCACAATCCAATAAAACAATCCAGTAGAATTTGATCAACAGAATATTGACTAATATACTTACCTGAAATACAATTCTCCAAATAATTTACTTTTAAAATAAATGTTGCCTTAAATTAATGATTTTTTCTCATACTTTTGAAAAAAGAATGGTTATATGTCATCTATTCCAAAGTTGTTCTCTTGTCAAATTAATATTAATTCTTTTCAGATTAGTACACAGAAAAGAAAAATTAAAAAAGGGGAGAACTGAAATGTCCTTTGACTTTATTCTAATCTATTCTACATCATTATAATTCTGGGTTAGGAAAAAAAAATCCAGGGGAAAGCATTTTTGGAGTTCTGGGCGGCATTTTTTTCTAGCTGTCAAACAACAAAAGTTGACAGCAGCAGGACACGCCCTTCCCCCAGGTATTGCTTCCTGGTTTCAAGGCTGCACTTACATACTTTTCTGATTTAGGCATTTGCGAAGAAAGTTACATAAGGCACCTGGGTGGGTCAATCATTCTCTCTCAGCTTAACTCACTTCAGAGCGACGTTGTTGTGGGGAAAATAGGAGGAAAAAGGCGCGCTGTACATGTTCAGTGCCTTAAATTATTTTAAAAATGATAAAGGCGGGATACTAATAAACAAAATAAAGCAATGAACCCTCAACTAACCACACCAACTGAATTGACACAATTTAGTAGATACGGACTGAAAGGGTAGTGTGAACGCGACCTTTCTCTTCTCTTGACAGATTTAGTCCCAAGCATTTTGCTAGATGTCAGCCCATTCGGTGCCATGAAGTACACAAAGCTATCTGCGGTGACAATCAACTCTTAATTATGCTGACGACTATCCTACACCACCGAGGGCAGCCTAACAGACGCTGCGCACTGCAAGGAGGCTGCGCTTATCTTGCAGCAATCCCACTACGCTGAAATCTGACCCCCTTTCTCTAGCTTCGAGATTCTCGCGGTTGCAAAACAATACCTCTGACCGAAGGCGAATTTCTCTTGCTTTCCTTCCGCCTAGCAATTGCTCCTCCTCCGGCTCCGATGCTTGCTTTCCATTTGTCTGCTTCGATGCAGACGAAGTCCATCTCATCCCGAGTTTGCGTCGGTGCACTGACTACAGCCCTTGGAGTGACGTCACAAAGCTCCGCTCCAGGCAGAAAAACTGGCCTGCCAGAGTTTAAAAAAAAAAAAAAAAGACTGCGGGGGGGAAAAGCGCGCGCCTAGAGCCCAGTCCGCTGCTCGTTCGTAGGAGTTCAAGTGTTCGGTGTACGAAGCAACATGACACTTCAGGTAATGAAATAAAAAAGGGGATGAGGAGAAAAAAAGAGAACTGGGATTGGTTTACCTTTGTGGCTTCCAGACTTAATATCCCATGAAAAACTAATGGCTGTAAATCAGCTTAGCTTCGTCCTTTAAAACAGCTTTTCCTTTAATCCGCGTCACCGAGTTGGCACGGGACATTGATTCACAGACTGGCCAAACGCATTTTAATCTGACCTGCTGGGCGAAGTGGCGAGTTAGTAGTTCCGTATGATGTGCGAACTGGGTTAATTTAATTGAGTGAACTGGGATTCTGATTAGCCGTGGAAGAGATTCGTGTGAATAAAAGTAGATGCCTACTTTGAGAAAAGTTGATACTCCAACAAAGATTGATGAACTCTCGCGTGTTTAATTAGACCGCAAATCCATTACTGAAATTGAAACAATGTACGGCTTTGTTTCTGTGTGCAGGAGTTTCTTTTCTTTCTTGGTTGAGAAGGAAGCAAGATCTACTGATCTAAAATGGATTTGCTCTTTTTATCTTTTGTCTCTTACTGTGCATCAGCACAGAAATGGGATTTAATACTTTATCTATGCACAGTATAAATACGATCCTTGAAAAGATTTAAGGACTTGTGACTTTATAATTTCTTCAGCCACGTTGACTGCAGAGAATCTGGTTGATATTCTCCAGGAGACTATTCTATCCATTGAGAACAATATGTGTGCTGTAATGAGTCCCATGTGGAGAAAAGGCAGATGTTTGATAGTAAAAAGTGCTTACCTAGGGATGGTTGCTGCCAAAACCGTTTGGATTTGCTACAAAAAGAAAGGATTTCCCTAACAACTGGATTAGTAGTTTAGTTTTAAATGAAATGGTTATAGCATGCAATTCACGCCTAGGTTCGTATATATGAATATAAAAAAACCCATGCTAAATGATGAAGCCAAAAGCTGTTCAATCCAGCCAGGCAGCTGCTAATGGGAAAATTGGAAATTGGACAATAACATTCTTCTATTCCTGTTCCTTACAAGAGAGGCAGTGTGTTTCTGATTGCAAGAGTCACGTATCTCTGTTGTGATTAATAGCTACTGATAACTTTGTTGTCTTTATGTTGATGTAATCTGTCCAATTAGCCAGGATGATGGCCATCACTGCCTCTTGTGACCATAAATTGCATTGTTTAATTAAATGCTCTGTGAAACAGTATTGTTCCTGATTTACCCAACATCTAGCATTGTGTATTGTGTAGAGCAGGGGTGTCAAACTCAATTTCATTGAGGGCCACATCAGTATTGCGGTTGCCCACGGGGGGCGGCGGCCAGGTTGGATGCAGCCTACTGGGTGGGCATGGATGGAGTGGGTGTGGCCTACTGGGTGGGCATGGCCAGCTCTACATCGTTCGCATCAAGGGTACCTGTGGGGGCCTGGGCAGGAGTGGGACAAATCTGAGGGTCTCTGGCAGAAGGGGGGTGGGACTGGGGCAAGCGCCAAGGTATGGTCCATTTCTTCATTCCTCACAAAGGGTGACACCTCCCCAGCATGCACCCAGGGGACGGGGCCGACGCGACAGGGGCTGGTTCCTCACTGTTTCTCCACGGCCTTGTGGAGCTAAGACTGAATGTGTTTCAGCATAGATGGCCACCACAAAATTGTACATTGGCTCCCGGCCAGCCTGGGCCAGGGCCAAGGCAGCGGGGGTCATTCTCTTACTGTTTCCAGGATGGCTTCGCGGGCCACATGAAACCACTTTGCAGGCCACATCCGGCCCCTGGGCCTTGTGTTTGACATGTCTGGTGTAGAGGGAAAAAAGCCCCATTCCTTCTGCTCCATATCATGTGTATTTGTATGTAGATTTGATATTCATTTTTTCTTAGCCAAAGTCACCAATATTGTTACTTACCCTTACAGCATCTTGTTTGCTGTGGTTCCATTTTCAAACCCCCTATTTTGTGCTGGTTTCTTAGTGCAATCTTCTGAACTGCTTGTGTGGATTTTTTTCCTTTATTTGAGCCTGCAAAGTTGTAGATAAACAGGATTTCACTTGCTTCTAGAAAATCAAAGATCGTTTCCACTTGCACTCCTTGCCACCAGATCTTCCTCTTGATCTGACTATATATAACACTTGCTCTTACTTTGCAAATGTCTGGACTTTCCCTGGTAGAGTACTGAAGTAGTCCAGGGAATAAAATTAGAGAAAAGCAGAGTAATGTTCTTCTGAATGGGCAACATTTGTGTGGGCTTTGTAGCTAAGCTTTCTAGGATGGGAGAATACATAAGAGTAATATAAAGTAGATTGGAAAATTTTAGAAAAATCCCTGAGGAAGGCAGTATAAAATCATTTTTGTAGTTGTTAAATAAACTGCGGGTTATACCCAAGTCCCCAAAAGTGATACTCAATCTAGTATTTTATGTTGGGAAAACTGCTGTTGTAATTCCTTCAACAAGTGATTATTAAATACTGTGGCAATGGAAGAGGTAGTTTGGTGTAGTGGTTAAGACATGGAGCTAGAAACCTGCATTTCTTGTCCTGCATTAGGCACAAAGCCAGCTGGATGATCTTAGGCCAGTCATTTTTTTCTCAGCTCTAGAAAAAAGGCAGTGACAAACCAGTCCCAAAATCTAGCCCAAAAAGTCTGCAAGGATATGTCCAAGTTGTCACTAGGAGTCAATGCAGACTTGAAGCCTCCTCCTCCCCCCCCCCCGAAAAAGCAACAAAAGCATCTTCACATAATCTTTAACAGCTTCAACAAATTGTTGGACTATGAAATTTCAGCACCATTGTTATGAAATGTGCAGATGTTTTATTGACTAATACCAAGGACAAGGCTGGATTAAAGATAATATGTATGACCTTAGCCAGTAGCAGCTTTATTATAATTTTATTCTAGTATCTGTAAAATTGTAATTTATGTCAAAGCAATTTAAATTTGAAATCTGATTCTGAAACAGGTTCTTGCAACATCTAATGATCCTGAAACTCTGGTTGCTGATCTTTATCCCTCTCAGTGCTGCTGCTACTTAGTAGAGAGCAAAGGGTTGAATGGTAAAGATTGCAGAAAAAAGCACCTCCTTGAAAGATGTGAATCACGAATGAATGCCAGCTCAGCTGGGTGAGGCTGGAAACTTCATAAGATAATATCAGAAGCTGTTGTTGGAGGTAGCATTTGTTTCAGCCAGACTTTGATCTGATGCCCAGAACCTTTGATCATGAATCACTCGTCCAGAGCAGCTTTTTATGACTTTTTGGAGGCAGTATTTCTGTATATGATTTCCTAGCACTTGACCTCCACGCCTCATTAGTCTTTCTTTTCTTTTTGCATCTCTGGAACTAAACAAATGGAAGGTATAAATAATGGATATAAATTATGCAAATGAATAATTATTAATGGCATTTTACTTCATCATAAAGTTTTATTTTTAAATACTCTGTATTATTTCTCTAAATTATTATCATAAATTTCTTTATCATGATACACTTGAAACAAGGTGATTGAAATCTGGATTTTACTGCTGCTTGTCTACTCATCGGCAAATGATGTCATGCATATAATTTTTTATTATCAAGGCAGGTTCACCATTAGTACAATGACCAGAATGCTAGACAACTCAAATTTACTTCAATCCATCTCAGCCAGGACTGGAGATGTCAGGACATTTCTTGGTGTGTGTGTTTGTTTGTGTGTGCATGCCTGCATGCTGTAGCAGACATGTAGAGCAGCCCAGCTGTGACAACAGCTTGATGAGAGATTAGTACTGCATGGAGTCTCACTTTTTTTTTCAGCCTAAGGAAATATCACTACAATTGCACTCAAATATGAATCCAATCCAATGTCCTTTTAAAAAAATATTAAAATTAATTAACTTGTATTTTATTTCTTTTAATGCACAAAAGCATTATGCATTGCATTCCTATTAAAACTACTGTTGCTGGAAACCTACAGGTTTTGAGAATTTATCCACAACAGCCCAGATAGCTGAAAAAAGGACCAAGGCTATGTTGATTGAACATAAAAGATGCTGGGCAGGTACATTTTTTAAATTTAACAAGAAATTAGGACTGCAAGAAACAAGTGAGCTGTGGTGGTAATGAAAAAAATAAAAAAGTGACTTTGGGATGAATTTTTTCTGTATGTAGTATCAAAATTCTTGTTTCCATATCCCTTAACTGGGCAAAACAGTGCATCATAGGGCATCAATTTTTGAACCAAGGATGGACTAACTTATAGAATGTATCCAAAATCCAGAACACAGTTCTGAGCAAGTAGGTATAAAATTCTGGTAGGCAGAATACTAAAAATGTGTACTTTCAAGAGCTGGTTGTGTAGCATATGAGATCATTGTATCATACTAATGATCTTTTTAAGTAGAACAAAATTAATTAGTCAAAAATCATAAAATTGTTCTCAAGGCTAAAACAGAGATAGTTGCTGAAAGATTCCAAGTGGCTTTGCTAATTGCATGTAGCTTTCATTCCTATATGCATATGAATGTATCCTTAGATTTATTTCTACATTTTAATTTGATGCAGTCAGTTATATAACTGTTTCTTTTGTCTTAATTCATTTCTTTCTGACAATTCTTGTTACTTTTTGCTTTCTTTGCAGGTGCCTCTTATCAATATAGTTTATTATTTAAAGAATACTTGTTAGAGATGTAATAATGAATTTTCTGTATGTGAGAAACAATCATATACTGTTTAGAGAAAAGTCAAATTTTGGCTTATGTCAAACATGAATTGTCTTGGAGGGTCATCTCATATTGTCTTCTGAGTCTGATGCTTTATAATCTGTTAGAACTTTTGAGTGAGGGGCCCAGCTTGAGAAAGGTTGATTTAATATAATCAGCAAAAATCACTGCAATAAGTCACTTTTTATTTGGTTTTGTCCATATACACAATAGAACAGGGGTGTCAAACTCAATTTCATTGAGGGCCGCATCAGCATTGCAGTTGTCCTTGGGGGGCCAGGTGGGTGTGGCCAGCGTAGGTGCGGCCTACTGGGTGGGCGTGGAACGAGTGGTTGTGACCTACTGGGTGGGCATGGCCAGCTCTACATCGTTCGTGTCAAGGGTGCCTATGGGTGACTGGGCAGGAGTGGGATAGATCTAAGGGTCTCTGGCAGAAGGGGTGGGACCAGGGCAAGTGCCAAGGCATGGTCCACTGGAGGAGCCTCACTGTTCCTCTCAAGCCATGTGGGGGGGCTGGATGGTGGCGTGGGCTGCCCGGAGCCCTGGGCAGCAGAGTCAAATGCCCAGCCTGGCCTCGAGCACCTGTGGCACCAAGCCCAGCCCCACTTCCCCAAGGGGATGCCCAGCTGCACTTACCTTCTCCTTAAGGCTGCTGCTGCTGCGTTTGCTCTCCTTAGCCAGGTTGTTCATGATGGGTACCAGGGCAAAGTCAGAGGGAGACTGAATGTGTTACAGCATAGATGGCCACCACAAAATTGTACATTGGCTCCCCGCTGGCTGGCCTGGGCCAGGGCCAAGGCAGTGGGGGCCGTTTCCTCACTGTTTCCAGGATGGCTTCGCGGGCCATATGAAACCACTTTGCGGGCTGCATCCGGCCCCAGGGCCTTGTGTTTGACATGTCTGCAATGCTAAGCATGCTGGGAAAATATTTTTTTTTTAAAAAAATAATAATACCGAATAAGGAAAAGAAAATTAGGCGCATAAAGAACTGAAAGAAGCTCTACGATAGAAGTGCACACTTCTGTTTTCACAAAAGTATATCTGTGACTGTAATAATTAGTTTTAAGAACAGTGGAATAGCTGGGGAAAGATTGTGTGTTTTAACGCTCTTTTGCATAACGGAGTTGTGATATGCAATAAAATTTGTGTTTTATGAAATAGAACCAGGTTATTTTTAACATAATTGAAAATAATATTTGAAAGTATTTTCTTAATTTTGTTTGTATCCTGCCTTTATTATTTTTACTAATAACTCAAGGCAGTAATATATCCAACACACTTTCATCCTAATTTCCCCCACAACAACCCTGTGAGTTGGGCTGAGAGTGACTGGTCCAAGTCACCCAGCTGGCTTTCATGGCTAAAGGAGGACTTTGAATTGACGGTCTCTTGCTTTCTACCCTAGATTCTAGCCTGGTGCCTTAACTACTGGACGAAACTGGCTCTCAGTCTTGATTAAATCAAGGCAAAGAGAAGTCGAATTATAAACTCAACTAATAAATGAATGTTGAATTGTTATCCCAAACTTAGAGCTTGCTCCTTGTTGTTGTTCAGTAATGAAAATTTCTTTGTCCTTTAACAGCAATTCTCCACATGTACAAATCTGTTTTGTATGCATGACCTCTAGCTCAAAGGCTGGAGGGAATTCTTACACTAGCAAAAAAAAAAAAAAATAGTATAGGGTTTGAGCTGTCACACAGCTAGAAAAACAGGAATATTTTACCATACATCTAGAATCAGAAATCAAGCATTCAATAAAACTTGTAGAAATAAACAGATCACATTGATACATGAAACAATTATATTTCTTTAATGGTTGTCTTGTTTTGTTTTCTCATCAGGCTGACTTTGAGACTGCGGCAGAAAATGTTAAAAAATTAAAGTCCAAGCCCATCGATGATGAATTAAAGGAACTGTATGGACTCTACAAACAGGCTACTGTAGGAGACATCAACATTGGTACGTTAATGAACATTTAGGAGAAATTGAGTATGAGAGCTCTTTTCAAGAACACATATAATGTTTATGGTTATATTTTCTCTTTCAACAGAGTGCCCTGGGATGTTAGATTTGAAAGGCAGAGCCAAATGGGAAGCTTGGAATCTGAAGAAAGGTTAGTTTTACTTTCAATAATAGGTTTTTTTTTCCCAGTGATAAAAAGTAAGGCACCATAGTAACTGTTAATTTTCCATTCCAGGTATATCAAAAGAAGATGCTATGAAAGCCTATATTTCTAAAGCAAATGAAATGATCCAGAAATATGGAAAATAGAATTTCCTTAAACACTTTATCTCTAAGTAGCTCGTGGTACTTTCAAAACTATGTTATTAATTTTAATGTCTGGCCTAAAACTTAATCTGTAACAATTTCATTTTAATCATTATGACATTGATTGTGCTTTACATTTTCTATCTTAATACATAACTTGTTTTGACCAGTTTTTTAGACTCCTCATTCCAATAACAGACTTTTGGTACTTAAAGTCTCAAACATTTGTAATAGCATAAGTTTTTGTGATCGCTATTTTATCAAAGATGTGTGGAACATAATTCTGAGAGAATAATACTATAATATATACACACAATGATTATTGCTGGTAAAAGAAGCAATAGTTTAATAAATGAGTATAGAATACTAAATAACAGGTCGAACATAGTGACAATTGCAGAATAATTCATTATTAACAAAACGTCTTGGATGAAGCACGATTTTGCATTTATGAGGTTCTTCTGTTCAGTAGGATAAGAAATCTTGGTTTCAGTTTAATTTGCAATAAATATTGTTAAGTGTGCTAATGACAAGCTTTTTAATGAATTCTAGCTGAGCCATTTAATAGTTTTTATAATTCCACTTCTAAAGGATAGTCATATTGAGATTATGATAGTGTTGAAAAGTTTCCCCATTGTTCTTTGGTGTCAGATTTGGGTCCTGGTTTTGTTTTGTTTTGTTTCCAGAATAGCCAATTTGTCCATTATAAATTTTAGAAAAGTAAAGCTAGTCCTTGACTTAAAACCACAATTGAGCCCAAAATTGCTAAGTCAGTTAATAAGCTGTTAAGTGAGTTTTGCCCGATTTTACAACTTTTTTGTCACAGCTATTAAGTGAATCACTGGTTAAGTTAGTATCATGGTTATTAAGTGAATCTGGCTTCCCCATTGACTCTGCTTGTCAGGTCACAAAAGATGATCACATGATCCCAAGACACCACAACCGTCATAAATATGAATCACTTGCCAAGTATCTGAATTTTGATCATGTGACCCTGGGATGCTGCAACAGTCATAAATGTGAAAAGATCATAAGTCACTTTTTTCAGTGCCATTGTAACTTTGAGCAGCCACTAAATGAACTGTTGTAAGTCGAGAACTACCTATAACATGCTCCATATTGGAGTTAAAATGTTCTATTATCACACTGAACTTGCACTGCCATGGTGAATCTGGGCCTAGAATTCGTTCCGAATTCTGTATAAGTACACCAGTTTCTGTTGGTTAACAGATATTTATAGTTAAACCCAGTAATAATGATCATGGCTTGTGAAAGAAAAATGCCATTAATTGTCCATATACTGGTCTTTTCATTGTTATAATATCTCCTTTAAACATGATTAGGTACAAGAGACATTAGGACAAAGCCTAATGAATTAAATTTCCACAAAATTTAGTAAAAACTCTGGGTGGAAATTGGATGTGAAGATAAATCCTACGTGTTCCACTACGTTGTGATCTAGACAGACAATCTATTTTAAGGAGTGTTCTCATAGCTGTTTCTCATTGCCCTATTACTATTGTGTAATGCTTAAATTTAGAACATTTCTGGATCATGCACTTTGTTCCATCGTGTACAATGTATTAGAGAATGACAAACAATTTGCCTTTCCTAAAATGTTTCCATATTATATTATACCATGCACCTTTTTAAAATGTTCCTACAAAGTAATGAATTTACAGGATTGCATAATCTGGGTGTGTTTAACATCAAGCAGTTAAGTGAATTTAAGATTTAAAAAATAGATAACATAATCTAGAAGGCTACAAACACTAGGATTTATTTACAGTTACCACCTGCATCTTCTAAAGTTATTTCAACACACTACTGGACATAGATGATTGTCTTCTACAGAATTAGCTAAATGTTGTCTTATAGAATTACACAAACATTTGCACATCTGCACACTTTCGTCATCTCAAAAACAGATGCAATATAGATCTGCCTCTTTTATAAAAAATAAAATCCAAGAATATGCATTGACTTGATTTCCCTTCTGCTACAAGGTAAAATCATAAATGATTTTTATTAGATTTATATGCTGTCTTTCTTCTGGAATTAAAATGCATAACAGTTCTTCCTCCACTTTTTTTCTGTGAGGACAAGGCTGAGTGACACTACAGCTCTTTAGAAAGAATCCTGGATTTTTATAATTCTGCTTTAATCCTATGAATGTTTATCTAATGTTGTAAGTGAGGAAGAATTCTTGTCTTTAGAAATGAAAACTCAGTGTAATTGAAGATACACAAACTGCCTTTACTTGGAAGTCAGCATAGTATAATGGTAAAGGTGTTGGACTCAGAGTGAGGTGACCCAGGGTCTGGTTCTCCCTAGGCATGGAAACCAGCTGGGCCTCTCACATTTTTTTTTTACCAACTGGCACTGGAACAATTCAAATATAATAATAAACGTTTACTGCATTATATACTGGTGACTCTTCAAGACTGTCAAAACCAGATAAGCCCAATGCAAAAATAAACAGACCTGCAAGTAAAAGTGACATGTACTAAGAAAAGCAGCATACCTTGGCCTCCTTTTAACAGCTTATACCAGTGATGGCGAACCTTTTAGAGAACGAGTGCCCAAACTGCAACCCAAAACCCACTTATGCATTGTTGGGTGCCGGGTGGGTGTGGCCCATTGGGTGGATGTGGCCCATTGGGTGGGTGTGGCTGTGGTGGTAACGTCAGATTGGGTGGGACTAAAAAGTTCAATCAATCAATTCCAACTTTACAAGATTTTTTTTCCTGCGAGAAATTGAGATTGACTGATTGAACCCTTTTTTTTTTTTTCACACAGAGGCAGAGGCCTAAAATGAAAAGGTTTTATAAAACCCAGCTGAAGGCCTAGGACTGGGGCGACGGTGTGTGTGCCCACAGAGAGGGCTCTGAGTGCTGCCTCTGGCACCCGTGCCATAGGTTCGCCACCACTAGCTTATACCAAAGCACAATTCATCCCTCAACAGGGGAAGATGAAAAGAGAGCTAGAATGCAGGCTAGTATGCAAAGTTAAGGATTGCCAATTTGTAGGAATCAGTTAAATTAGATAATATCACACATGTAATCACTTAGCAAATGTTCAACTGCAGGAGGCCTCTGAAGTCTGGAATGGAGGATAGGGGGGGCTTCTGGAGGTCTCTGGAGGTCCATTCCACGTGTCAGAGACCTCGTGCAGGTCTCTGACGCCTGGAATGGAGGCTGGGGACGCTTCCACGGACCTCTGGAGGTCCGTTCTGTGTGTCGCAGGCATCATCCAGGCCTCCACAATTCAAATGGAGGCTGGAGGCAGCCGCATGGCTCAAAGAGGTGGGGGAGGAGACAGCACCATGAGAATTCAGGCACCCATTCTCTACAAAGGAGGATGAATGCCTGAACCTGTGAGATATTATGGCATGCAGGAGCTTCCACCAAGTCTCCTCTCCCTCAAAAGCAGGAATCACAGCAGAGAGGAGATGGATCATTTCAAGATAAGTGAGCCCGGTGTGTCATTCGATTAGCAAATGCATGGGCAAAAGCAGGGAGTGATCTCGTTCAAGGTATGAGATTAACTCCCATGAATTTTCGAGTTATGAATGAAATGGGCAGGCTCCAATACATGCATAAGTAGAGGACTGTCTGTGCTGATCTCTTTCAGTTTGAAATCAAACTGAAACCACGTATACCAATCTTCAGTATTTATACTTTCAAAAATATTTGAATGCTTGTTAACTATCTTGTGTGGTAGAGTAATTAAGAATATACCTGCCCTCCCATCAGAATGGAACAATGTAAGTAAGCTTAGATGAATAATGTTCACATTTTTTGCTCTTTGGAATGTCTTTATTTCAAGAATAAATTGCATTTTCATTTGATTCAAAGAATGCATGTTGTCCTGAGATATACATTGAAATGGCAAGAAAATACAGTATCTTTAATGATCACTTCTTCCAGTTTATAGAGAAAACCTGCATTTAAACAATCCCACTGTATAAAACAAGAGAACAGCTCCATGTTACCTGAAATAAATTCATAAGCATTCTAATACTCTCCTTGATTACTTTTGAAGGCAAGAAAAAAATCCATGATATGTATTTCATATAGAAAGAAAACATGATGCAATGGTTGCTCAAAATATAGATTTCCACTGTAGTAAATCAAAGCAAGCTTCCCCAGCCTGGTGTACTTCTGAAAAAAGCAACTTAATGAATTAAATTCATTTGAACATGATTTTGCATTCTTTATTGCTAGTAAGATTACATAATTTAACTTTTTTCTATAGGAAAAAATCTTTCATTTTAGAAATTTAGTTTATTATTGCATAGTTCTAATATTTTGCATTGCTGCTGCAGATTATTCAAAGAAAATTGCATTGTTACTGTAATAGAAGTTTGCATTACTTATGCCTGGCTTATATATAACTCAAATACCACGTCCACTTCAATAATTCCTTTTAAGTAAGGATTTAATATTCAAATTTTCAGTAGATGTGGTATTATAAAAAAAATGACACTGTAATTCTAATACTTTTTCTACATCTGGGCTGTGGCCATCAATTTTATTATGTCTTGAAAAATCTGGAACAATTCCTTACAAAAATTTTCAGCATCTGTGTCTGGACATGACTTCCAAGCACTACAGGCAACAACAATCCTACCAGAGGAAAGATAGAACACAACTGTTTAGATAAATGCCATTAAAAAAAAATCATCACAGCATTTCAGTTGGTTATATATAAAGTACTGGGCACCTAAATAATCACAATGTTACAAGATACAATTACTACACATCCAAATCATGGGCAGGTGAATTTACGCTATAAAATTGGAATGAAAGAATCTCTTCAAGATACGTTTCACATTGAACTTCAACAACATGAAGAAATAATTACGTTCAAATTAGAGAAAAAAGCTTTGAAATGTTGTAGAGTGCTTTGTCTTATCACCAGTATTTCACAGAAAGTTTAGCTATCCTATTATATTCCTAAAATATTGCCCACCATATTATTCTTAATGTAAGCAGCAGATATAAAGAAAAAGACAAGAAATTATCATCATGAAATGTATAAACCTAGTTAGGAAGCTGAGTTTTTAAACTAAAATATGGGTCCATTCATATGAATTATGGTTTATGGAGTTAACCCTACTGTCTGAATTCACAATACTATAATGAACCAGTGAACTAATCACTCTGCTATATTCATACAACAGAATCACCAGTTTAGGTTAGTGAGTTACATGAAGGCATAAATAGAGTAGATCACATCACTGACAGAATTGATAAAATATTTCAGGAAAAAGAATAATCGTATTTAAAATTACATGGAAGAAAGTTAAGAGTGCTCACAAGTGTAGCTGTAAAATCAAGTTTTCATTAGTGAAATATAATAGTTGTCTCTCCCACACTGACACATAACTCAAAAGAAAACAGGTTTCAATTTTTACTTGGAATAATGTTAATGGTATTGTTACCTGTCATCTCTAATTCTGTAGATAATGCCATAACCGTGCTTTACCATTGGAACAACAGCTCCTGCAATTCTTGTGTA